GAGATGGTTAGATAGCATCACCAAAGCAATGAACGTGAAATTGAGCAAACTCCGGGAGGCAGTGAAGGACAGGAAGGCCTGGCACGATATGATTCATGGGGTCACAAAGAGCTGAACACAACTTAACGACTGAACAACAACAACAAAAAACAAAGCTACATGACTGTAAATGGGCACATCATTCACCTAGTATCCATCCTTAAATATTTTTTGCTCAAAAAAGGAGTTCAATAATGTACACAGCAAGGAAAAATTGCATATAATAATGCACACACATTAGAGGAATGATGAATAAAGATGTGCGTGCTAGGGATAGTAACAGGAAAAGTAAATGAAATTTTCCTTGTCATTTTAAAGAAATTCTGCAGAACATCAGAACAATCTAATGATCAAATTCATATGATCCTAACATGATCTAATTTGATACAGACCGAGCAGTTAGCTATTATTCCCATCACCTACCAAACCAAATTGCGTGTAGGAAGTTGAAGTCAGTTGCAGAATACCAGGTTGATTACAGTATTTTCTAGAAACTAATTAATAGGAAAAATAAATGGGGAAAAAGAGAAGACAGGGTAAAAAAATAGCAGCTGGAGACAGACAGAAGTTCTTAAAATGGTCAGAAATGATTGGAATAAAATTGCATGATATCTAGGTACTGTATCTTGCATCTGTATCAGTCTTGCTTCTGGTTAAAGAGACTTGAAATATTCACTCTCATATTGCTATCTTCATATTATATTTAATAAACATTTGAAACATTTCCAGTGAACATTGAGGGAAAAGTGTGAATGGAACTGTACCTATATGGACAGTGCCTGAACTCGTAGCGTTGTATCGTCATAAAGTTGAATCATGGACCACACCCATAGTCTTTGACCAGTCGGATAAGAACTCAACTGGGAAAATTCATTACTTGCTGAATTCTGCCAGCTGAACCAACAGGCTAAAAAGGGGTCAGCTGCCTCATTGAGAGACCACAGAGATTGTCCACCTAGACAGATGGACATCTGAGGATCCTTCCTCATTTGAACCCAATAATTCATAAACCGCCCTGGCCACCTTTTGTTTCTTCCATGTCTTTGCCTTCAGCCCTTCCCAACCAATACCTAAGGTGGTTTAAAATTGTTCTTTGATTTTCTGATGTTAAAGCATTGTTTTGCCCTTTAAGCAAGTCAGAAGCTGCAGCAGTTTTGCTCTAGGTGCAATTTGACTTTCACTGATGACTCAATCCACATTGTGGTCAGATGTCCTCTAGGAGTGGGATCAGCCTGGCTCTTATTGGCCACTTCAGCTGGTGTGGATGCACTCCCTGCCCTCAGGCACTATCTTTCAAACCAGCCTCTTCTCCTGCACCCACCAGGTTTCCAAGCAGATTCCCAGCCCAGAGATCTGGATCAACAAAGGGAGCTGGGAAGCTGTCTGAGAAATGAGTGACTGCTCTCTTTGATTTTCATGGGCCAATTCTCACCATGACTGTCAGCTGTTGTTCAGTTGCTTCTGAATGTGGGTTTAGCATTCTCCTGGAATGCTGTTATTCCAAAAGAATGCTAAATCCATCTCCCCTTTGAAAATGTGTACAAAACTAAAGGAAAATTACAGAAGGTTAAACACGTCAGTCTAGCTATCAGTCAAAATGTATTCCTGTCTGGAACAGGGCAACTTTTTCTCATTCACCCTCACCCAACCATACAAAGATATTTTGGAGAGCAATAAAATATAATATTGTCCTCAGCATCAACAAATCCAAACTTCCATCTCTGACTCTCTCCATAACAGTCTTTCACACGTAGGTACCAAGACTAACTCTTTGTGTGTTCTATGAATGGCTGAATGGTAAGATGAGAGTTAAAATCCAGGAAAGCGTATTAGCAAAAGAAAAATGAGAATACTTTCTAGAACCAGATCTCCCTCTTGCAAACTAGCAGGGTTGAGTTCACATAACACCCTGAGTCAAAATCAAACAAACCACATAATGGCCTGGCGTAATGCTTAAAAACCATCTTAATCCTCTTAACAGCAAAACCAGGCTAAGCCCACAATCCCAGCATTAAAGGTTAACAGCATCCCAGCCACAACTAAATCCAAAAGTATAGCAAACAAAATATCATCTGGGTCCTCTCCTCTTGGGCTTCTTATAAAAATTCAGTTCAGATACAATCAGACACTGCCTAAAAACCATAACTGAAAACCTAATCCCTTGAGAGCAGCAATTCAGCTTTTGAACAGGAATAACAACTGCTAATGCTCATGATATTCTAAGCCACAGTTTGTTGAATAAACCACACCTGGGTTGGGTCATGCAACATACTGAAGCAGCCTTGAGCAAACTACATTTTAGTTTAGGTAATTATGTGAACCAACTATTGGGTGAAGGGTAGATTGTATTGATCCATTAAAGCAGTGTTTCTCAACCTTGGCCACTTTAAGATATGTGGACTTCAACTCCCAGAATTCCCC